ATAAGGCCGCGAAATCTACATCACGATCGACTCCTTCGTCGTCAAAGCATCCAGTCAGAAAGTTGCATCAGATCCACTCTATTTTAGTTTGTGTGCTACTTAGTTCTTATACGATGGTATTCTCTGTTTGCAGCCGCCGGCGAAATATGTATCTCTAGCGAAGAGAGCCAGACTTCAGCTGGTTCTACTTGCCCCACCCACGCCTGGTGCTGACGTGATCATTATTCCCGACGACGACGAACCAGAGTTGATACAGAAGCCTAGTGTAAATGGCAAAGCCCATACTGGATTAAACAAGGATGTAGAGAGCATGGTAATCATTATTTTTCTATGTCTCGACCGCAACGTATTGATTTGTAGAGATTGTCATCTGGTTGCCCTTGTTTTCGCAGGTTGTTCTGGAATTCAAGATCGATTCGCATGTTGACTACAATGAGGAGGAGGTCAATGTAGCACATTACATTTTTCTATCCAGTCTACCACGAAACGAGCTATTGGCACAAACCTTCCACAACACATTGACCAGTAAGGCTTTGTGGACCTTATGTCCCCACTCGTTTGTGGATGGTGAGGTAAGTTTTTATGTGAGCAACAACATTTGCTAAATTGTTTGAACCATTTACATAGAAAATTAATTGTTCATACTCCATTGTGTTATAGATTATTACGAATCTATCCTCTCTCTTTATCTTGGAACAAGTCTTTATGGATCACGAACACAAAAAAAGGAATATGCTACTTGCCAGCTGACCTCCAGGTACACTAGGAGTAATGTTCTGATGGTTACTTATGGCTGCCGCACTTCTGATCTAGTTGATTAGGTTTCTGGTATGCATTTTATACGTTTTGGTGTTATTCCTATACATTCTGACCTATTTCATTATTTATGTGGTTTCATTTCTAGATTTTCTGGTCTACTTCATTACCAATGCTTCATCAATTGTGCAGATTAGGTTTTTGGATAGCTTGTGGCAGACTCTATACCTTGACGCGAAAACACATGCGAGCCGCTGAGATTTTTAGCTTATACGTACACAAGGCCTACTCGCCAAGAACAAATGGATGAGTAAGATTGTTTCTTTATACGTAAGTTCAAAGGCTTGCTTAGGAAATGGTTTCTCATGCAATGATTTTCATTTTTTGTAGGTCTGATAGTGGAGTGTGGGTGTGCTACTGGATTATGGGAGCATCATTGGATTCATTTTTCATATGGGTGAGTCGTGCGCTAATGTGCTTATTCGAAGCAAGCAACAAACCATTTTCTAAAATTAAATCTTCATTTTATTTTTACTCGGACTTAATACGAATTGTTTGATGTTCGTATAGCCATGTGGCCCGGTGAGGGGAATGGAACTGGCTTTGTTTCTTGTACGACATCCTATTAACATGTTGAGGCATAAAGTGCTGAAGGAAGCCAAAAAACTTGCACCAAAACTTGGAGCACTCGCACTTGAGTACAAGGAAGCCAAAGAAAAGGCACTGCAAGAAAGAGAGAACGCCGAATTTTGGGATTGGAGTATTGTATCAGATGATTTTATAAATGCCTGATGTTTTTGTTGGATTTGACAATGGATTTTCTAACTTGGAGTTTGGTTTATATTGAAGTATTATTGCATTGCATAGCATTGAGTAATTTGACTATATTTTATTGAATAATTATGAAAGTGTTAATTAATGGTCTATAGTCATTGCTTGTAGAATTTGCCAAGTTTGAGCTAAAGTATTACTACCAATATGTTTTTGTTTTTTTGGAAACCTTCGGAAATAAGTGAAATCTAAAATTGAACAAGTATGACACAAATGAAAATTCTAGTTAATTAAACAAAAAAGAAAATTCTAGTTAACGCAACAATAAAAAAAGGGTCAATTCCTTCTGTCCCCAAGGCCTATAGAAACACAACTATCTCGTTATCAAATAACAAAAAAACACAACTATCTCTCTTGGTGAATATGTTCTTCCCGAACGAAGTCTTTCCACTAGTCCTCGCTCAATGCCTCCTCACTTGCTCCCTCTTGAATCATACGACGCCTTTTGAGATTTCTGGCGACTTGAGCAGCAACCTCCTTGCATCAACGAGAACAGCCTCTTCTACCCCTTCTGAAGGCCTACGTGGGATGACGTAGTGCCTCATGATGAGGGCGACAGGTATAAGGACAAATGTTTCCTCAAAAATATAACCATCCAGAGGAATATCGAGATTGGCAAGCAGAAGGCTTATGTATCCACCAAAGGGAAAAATCGCACTATACTCGTCACTACTTGCTCTCATCATGCAGCCGAAAAGAAAGTGGGAATAGTCAAGCTTGCGTCCAGCCAAGGCATTGGAGATCACCGAAAGATCAAGATGATTGACGACATCAAGCGAGTCGATGCGGTGAAGAAAGACTTATGTGATGAAATAGTGAAGAACCTTATACAGAAGGTTGAGCGATACAGTGGTGATTATTTCAGTGGGGTGTACATGCCTTCCAAGAAGCTAGCCGTATTTCTCAGGGGATCAAATTTGTACGCAACCATTTCTTGCTCATGAGCGGAAGGCCACCAGTGGGAAATTTCAGAGCCCAACCTAGGCCTTCATCTGTCAGACTAATCTCATGACTAGCAACAAGACTTGAGAACTTTCGAGATTCAATACCCATGCACTGCATGTTTGCATAGAAATACCTAACAGCGAGAGGACATGGAGGCAGAGGGAGGGAGTGAAGAAGAAACCCCCATCCAATGTTGTTGATGTAGTGCAGCACATGAATATCAAACTCTAGAAACTCTGCAGGGTCGACAATGATTTTAGTGTGAAGAGAACGAGAAGAAAATAATCTATACCCGATCGTGATTCCTTTTTGCTGGTTCATTAACAACCTTGTTTACAAAGGTTTTGCTAACTCCGTGAAGTAATGGAAGGGGGATGTTATCAACCATGTTTGGGGCAGAGAACGGAAACAAAGCAAAACGAGGAAGCAAAGAATGAAAGGGTAAAGAGATAGTAAGACAAAATGCAAGGAGATGGAAAGATGGAAGGAATCAAGGAAATATAAAGAGTCTCGATTCTGCTAAAACTAAAAAAATGGAAAAACAAAAGTCCCGAAAGAGATAAATACAAAAGTTATTACTTACCTCGCAAAGTACATATTACTTAACTACTACATATCAACAAATTAATATTCCAGTAGATATACCTCACACCTAGACTAGAAAATCTCCACCAGTGATTCGACGCTTCAAATAATTAGCTATAACAATAAAACAATAGATAGACTTGAAAGCTCTGCCACTGATTCAACCCCTCGTAATAATTACTTGCACTACAATAGATAGACTTTTGCCGTGCTTTTTATAATATTTGGTATGCTTTAGAAGACTTGTGATGTGCTTTTACGTAACTTGTGGTGTGGTTAGATTGTTCTGCTTTCTCTCCCTTCCCAACGAATGATCCGTTCGAGCCCTAGTGAAAATGAAATATGTTTAGAATTTCCATAAAATTTGATCCCTAATTAATAGTTTCAGAATATCCGAAAACCAAACCACATTTATTAAGCTTTCAACCCTAGTTGGAATGGTCCAGTGCATGGCCCATTAACCTCGTATGCATTAAGGCGACGAGAGCGGTAATTGGATTCAAGATCATATTGCAGTATTCTAAACCCAATAAGGTATGTTATTTCACAAACACAAGTTAAGATAAATATGAACCCACAATTCGATTGAAATGCCCTCTTGGACATCTTCTTCCTCCGGCCGAAACAATCCCAGAACGGAGTACAGCTACCTGGAACATGAACGAAAAACTAAATAAATAAAGGGGCAATACAATAGACTTGTGGTGTGCTTTTATAAACATGCGGTTTGCTCTACGTTACTTGTGGCATACAATAATTAACTTTTGGTGTACATTATTGATCATGTGGTGTGTTTAACGAACTTATGTCGTGCGTACCGCAACTTGTGGTCTGCTTTGTGCAGTCGTGTAATATACAGAGGAGGCCGGTGTACCATGCCTCTCGATTTGGGCCAAGTGCTCTGGTCGGAGATGGCGAATGATTGATTGAATGGAGGGACGAAAGAAGAATACTTTGTGCATTGTAATTGCTCGAATCGAATTCAACAGAGAACGAGGGTTGTGATTACAAAGTTCTGGACCGGAATTGGAATCAATTGAAGTGGAATTATTTTTCGGAATGGAGGAGGCGGGGAGAGTAGAGAGAGAGAGAGAGAGCAGGACGGAGGAAGGGACGACATTACAAAAGGAGGAGAAAAGGGTCGGGTGGTTTGCAGATGAGGGTTGGGTCGTCTGGACAGAAAATAAATTTTGGTTCTTACGTCCTGGCCAGCCATCCGACGAAAGTGGATGACAATGTAACATTTTTGGGTTGTGGGGGACTATTACAGTAATTGTATTTATAAATCCACAAAATTAGAGCTCATAATTATCTCGGTCGTTGAGGTGGACCACACGACAGAGATGGGTGGTGTACGACATACGACCATTTTTTTATGGTGGACGATAGACGTCACTATATATATATATATATAGTGGTGTCTTCAGTGCACCCACTTTCTTTGGTGCACTGAATGCGCTCACTTTCTTCTCTAATATTGACCTTTTAATATATCTAATGGTGGACAATAATTAATGAATTTGTAATTATTTATTAACTAAATAAATTATACATTATTTATTAAAAGAATTTATAGTTATTGATATTTGCAAATAAGCTCCTAACTCTAAACCTCTTCTCCCCTAGTCCCCCGGTTCTTTTCCCCACTTCTACTAACCCTTCTTCTTCATCACACCAACATCTTCAATCGTAAATTCTTATTCTTCCCAGTTGTCCTTCGCTACTAATCCTTTCCAACGCACCAATCCGGATGTCACTTGCATTGTCATCGCATCGGAGACAACAGCTCTCCGTGAGATCCAGCTCATCCAGTCGCTCCGGTCCAGCTCCTCACTCACACCAGTTGAAGAGTTGCTGGTTTCTGCTTGTATTGGGATCTAGGTTTCACCATATAAGCGTTATTGCTGGCGACGATTGATTTCTTAGGGACTAAAAGAGCGATTTCTAGAATATGGGAGCATGGCCGCCGGGAGGGGTAGCGAGGAGTCAAACGAAAGCGATTCTAGGTTTGCCGTTTCCAACCTCCTTTCCTACGGTTTTGGGTTCGATGGATTGATTGTGCATTCTGGTTTACTGTGTCTTCGATAGGGTTTCTTCTCTTTCTTTCTTGCGAGCAGATGGAATTGGTCTATGGCGGAGGCAAGACCGACGACGGGAGTGAAAAGGTGAAGAGGAATTATGCAGATAGATTTTTTTTTTACAATATTGTGCAGATAACTTGACCTGTAGTATATTGGAATTAGAATTGGGTTCTTTCATGATACTAGGGATTTTAGTTGTTACTTGTATCTTGGCTCGCGCTCTGCGCCCGGGATATTGTTATATTTAAGTATTTCCGAAGAAAAAAATGAATTAATTTGATTGATATCATATAAATAAACAGTATTGATCATCTAAAACAAACTTTTGGCCATCTTTCATCACATTCACCAAGTAGTAGCAGCATTAAGAAGCATCACACTCCAAGAGTCAACATCTTATTAAGGAATAACACAGTACAAAATAATATAGAACTCCATGTGTTTACATGTCCTCAATTAGGTAACAAACTAACATGCTCACATTAACACTACTTGATCTTGTGGAAGTTCCGATATACAAATGAACAACCGGGTAGCCACATTTTCTCTTCGTAGATGGCTGAAACAAAAAAAGGGAAGAAATAAATGTATTTGCTAGATGCGAACTTGTTGACAATGAAAGAGACTTGGAAAGTACTATTGGGCAAGCAGCCAATCACACATTACAGCAGAATGCTCCATTAGAGACACAATATGTCATCAAACTGTAAGTAGACCAATCATAATAATTGAATGACTATTAACAAAGCCCTAAGGGAAAAGAAAAGAGTTGGATTTTATTCAGAAGGATAAACTTGATACTGTACATCACAAAGCCACTGGAATTGGAAAAAAATCGTTAATAAAAAATTTCAAGATGGGGTGCTCAGGGATGCAACATTAAGAAGAAGGAATAAATAGGCCCCCTCAAAGCACTGGCCTTCCACAACTCAGAAAGATTGATTGGTCATAGTTGACCAATTTTATTACAGAACTTCTACTATTTTGCACAGCAAAGCACGAATCAAATGATTAAGAAGAGACAGACAACACTAAGGATTATAAATAGATGAGAAATAACATTAAGTTTCCACTAAACTGGATTAGAACCAATCATCACTGTAAGCTTCCCATAAATCATTTACACCGTGATCCAAGCAAATTGTTAAAGTACAGGACAATAAAATTATTAGAATTTGGAAACAAAACATAGGCGGAACCTGAAAGTTTAGGGTAAAGGCTTCAAAGGTTTCTACTCCATGTAATTGCGGATGCCGATCTTCAACACCAGTTTCTAGCAGAAGAATATACATGATCAATGAAGAGAAAAATCAGAAAACAAAAGAGTAAAACAAATGTGCTCGTTGATATTTGAGACCTACCAAAGCTACATTAACCACTGCGAAAAAGCTCACCAGTGAATCACAAATTGGCATCCACGCAACCAATCGTCTTGGTGGCTTTTCCCTAAATATTGACATCGTCTTTTTAATAGAAAACTCGTTGATGGCAGAGAGAACAAATCAACTTTAGACAAAGAGGAGGAATCACCTTACAACAAAAAGATAGCAAATCTAGGTCACATAATCCTTTCGGAACCACACAAACTGGCATCTACGTGCTCTGAGCTCCGGCGGTTTCTGGAAAAAAAGATAAAGGAAATGCGTTATAACCCAAATATTTCTGAATCTAAGAATGAGAATATAGAAAACAAACCTTCAAGAGCAGAATCATGATAGGAGAGAAACCAAGAATCAGAGCTCATCCGAGGTTGGGAGGTGGTCGATGTATCAAGAATCTCCCCCGAAAAATCAATTTTCTGAGCATACGAACTGCCAAGAGCCTCATAAGTGAGAAACCGTGTGAGTGAAGATGAACAGGGGAAGAAAAATCGGAGACCGGTGTTAAGATAACATGAACTTAAGAATGCAAAAGAGATAGACGAAGCAAAACCATCAAATTCTCACCTTAAACCATCATGCTTAACGATCTGGTTCCCGTCGATTGATTTCGTTGGCCAGGCGTGTGTCCTCTCCTGCGGATCCACAATCGAAACCATGGGTCTTAAGATTGCTGGCTTCGTTCTGTAATTTGACGGCCTTCCTAGCTGTGAACAGAAACCCATGTTGATAAAGAAAGGGAGATACTAATGAGGAAAAAAATCATCACCATAGATAAAACATACCTTGCGGACTGGGTCTCTTTCGATTCCTCCATCGGCCTTTCACATTCTTCTTTTCCAGTTGATCGCTCCAAGATACTGATTTCCGGAAAGGAGATTAGAGAAACAAAGCAGAGAGAAGGGTGAGAAGAGAGTGGAGAGAGGAAAATATAGTGCAACATAAACAATGAGGGGAGCTAAATGTAATTTTGAGTTTTATCCTCCATCTCTCCCTCTTTTGGGTAAATGCACGGCTGATTTGACACTTACCTAAGCCTCTTACTTCGTCCAGATATGAAATCGAAGAAAAAGATAAATTAGGCAGGGTAGATTAAACGAATGGTCAAAATAAAGGCTATGTGGCTCTTAATCTGACGAACAAACTTACCATCGCCTAGAACACTTGGAAAAACTCTTCCCTTTCTTCTTCTTCTCTCTGAGGAGCACAGCCCTCCCAAGAACCCCTTCAGAAACCCGAGGAGGCAAGAAAAAATCAAAAACAGAAATTTGGACTCCATCAGCAACCCTTCTTTCCTCTCACATCTCTCCAGCAAAAGCAAAAAACTAACTGGTCCCTATCAGCAACCCTCCGTAATCTTCCAATCTACAACAAAGCCTCTCACCTGCTATCAAATCACCCGAAAAGCACCTGACGGAGGAACGTCTACTTGTGACCAACGCGAAGGGAACTAAACTCCAATGTGCAACAACTTTTTGTTTCTCTCAGGGTTCTTCAGTCGTCCATCACTGTTTCCATGAATGGCCCACAATCCCTTCGTGGGTCTGTGTCACCAGCATAGAGAAATAGAGACAACCAGCCACACACAGCTTCTTTGAGTTTTATCCTCCATCTCTACCTAATTAAACCCAAGACTCTACTCGGCCTCAACCCAATTAGCAAAGACCCTTGGAGTGCAAATGTGTATGATTGATTATTTGTGCTTCGCTTGAGTTATGGTTTGGGATGATTTTGTGCTATTTGAGGTGATTTTGTTTTAGCTATGCTTGAAGTGAATGTTTATTAATTACTTTGAAAGTTTTACGAGTATAAGTTATTATTAAAGAGTAAGAAACAAGTTCTTTTGAAGAAGTAACTGATATGATCCCAAATTGCCCACCATTCACGTCACAATTACTTGACAAAGAAGCTATCAAAGTTGGGAAGAAGAAAGGCAGAATTTGGCCAAGTCAAAATCCGTGTTCAGGGTACATACTTTGGAGGCATGGTTCTCTCAATTGGCTTGGTGGAAATTCAATTTTAAGGGTTTTTTTTGCAGATAAAGTTTCCCTCTTTCCAATGGTATGCTCTGTGGATTCAGATGATGTCATTAAGGTTGTTTTCCAAGGCCTCAAAGTTGCTGCCTCAAAACTGGAAAACTGCCAGAAAATGGTTAAGTCTGGAAACTGTTTTGTGAAGCCCACTTTGGAGCTCAATTCAAGGAGAATGGATCTGATTCAAGTCCAAAGGCTTCCACAACATGAAACTAGGTATGTTTTTGAACAAAGGGAAGGAATTGGATGAAAGATTGGAGTTCGGGAAGGCCTCGAACGAAAGGCGCGAAGTTAGTACGAAAGCTGCCTTTTGACTGTTTGCTGGCAGCTTACTTGCACTTGAAGAAAGAGAGTTTAAATCCGAATTTTGAGTTCTTTTTAGAGTAGATTTTTACCTTAATTGTTTCCTAGCTCTATTAGGTTTGTATTAGGTTTATTTGCCTTTAAATACTCTTCTATTTACGTTGTAAAAACAGAAGACTTTGTTGAATAGAAATCGAAACCGTTTGGTTTGTGCAAGTTGCGACTTGTTTTGGGTTTGGTGGATTCCAAACTTGCTGAGCTTGTGTATCGATTGAATAGTCACTTCAATCGTGGTCGAGCAACTACCCTTTTATACCAATCGAGCTATCCCCAGGTGTGGATTTGTCCTTTTGGTTCCGTTTTATCCAAGTTCGAATTAAGAACGCGTTGTTCTTGATTCGAGCTCAATCGATTCTTTGATTGAGTCGTTAGCTGCGTGACTTTGACAAACATACACCCCCCCCCCCCCCAGGGGCGTATCAAGTGGTATCAGAGCCGCGTTCAAGTCAGGGCGAGGAAGGATTGAAGAGCTGTGGTTTCATACAAAAAAAAAATCTGCCGCAAGCAGAGGCACGAAAACAGAGCACCCATGGCAGCAGAAGAGTTAGCGAGTTCCATGATTTTCACCCGTTGTTTAATCCAGGATCAGCTGGGTTTGGTGCTCGTTGATGGAGCCAGGGAGAGAAATCTGATTTCCCTCCGGATTGTCAGCAAATTGAAGCTTCCATTGCAGCCGCATCCAGCTCCCTACGTCGTACAATCACCGTACGAAGACAAATTCAACATGGTCGTTTCCCAGGTGGCCGTGACGTTCTCGATTGGCCACTACGAGGACCAAGTCCTGTGTGACGTGGTTCTAAATCTCCCTAGCAGCCTTGTATTGGGACAACCATGGTTCAGAGATCGTCAAGTCTGTTTTACCAGTCGACGGAGCAAGAGATTTCGTATTCAGAGTCGAAACAAGGTGTTTGTCGTCAACCCTTTGGCTCCGGAGGCAGCTGCCGAAGATTTGAAGGAGCTTCACCGACTCCAAGAGGAGTATCAGAAGGCTATACTAGTGAAACCATGGCTAGGGAAGGTCGATCAAGCAAAGACCCAGCCAGAGCAAGACAATCCCTGTTTTTCTTTGCAAAAACAGAGCATCGAAGCCAACAATTCTGCTGACGACGAAGAGGCGAAACAGTCGCACAACTCGTCCAGAAATGCATCCGTGGATGTTGATGGAGGTATTGGAGCGCGAGGAGAAGCCCCTGAACCAGCTATCGATGCGCGAATCAACCCGGAGACGCGCGCAGCAGAGCTTCCCAACTCTCCGCCGACGAAACAGAGCAGGCGAGAGACCCAATTGGTCGGAGCTCTAGGGGCAACGTCGAGCTCCGCCAACGCTGCCGAAACATTCAATCCGACCCCAGGAATCTCAGGTGTTGTATCATTGGAGCCAAACATACCTGTAATTGTAGATTCAATTCGCGCCAAACCATTTCTGTTCGTGAAGAACACTGCCGACGAGGACCCTCTCTTGGGTGGATCGAACCAGGTCGATTCGATCAAACTGGCTGATGGAGAACCATCAAGGGACGTGCGAGGAAGCTGTACGATCAATCAATTCATCGCGATGAGGTCTGATTCACAAACGCCCAATTTGACATTGAGCTTGCTGGGTTCCGAAAATTTAAATTCGGACGACGGCGGGGAAATTTCAGGCCATGATTCGCCGCGTCTCAGGTGCATTCCATGCATAGAATCGATCGAGGAGTGTAATTCTTTGATAAAGAAAGCTGATTCGTGCCCTGGATTGAAGGATGAAGCTGTGAATCAAAAAGCCCCAATATGGCGAAGTTCATCGCGGCGGTGCGTGTTGCCGGAATCTGGAAACAAAGAAAATCGTAGTCTGGGCGTAATTGTGCCAACTGAAAGCATGAAAGGTGCCAAATGGAGTCCTAAGAAGATGCAGGAGCTGGAATTTCGTCAGAAAGAAGTAGCAGCACGAGTAGAAGAAGCTGCCAAAGTCTTCCAGAAGTTGGAGTTTGAGCTGCCTTCTTTTGACCCCATTTATGAGCAGTTCTGTGCAGATTTTGACAAGAGGAAGGATCAAGCTTTGAGGGCAAAGCTTTTTGAAGAGGGGGAGCCTGATATGATCCCAAATTTCCCACCATTCACGTCACAATTACTTGACAAAAAGCTATCAAAGTTGGGAAGAAGAAAGGCAGAATTTGGCTAAGTCAAAATCCGTGTTCAGGGTACATACTTTGGAGGCATGGTTCTCTCAATTGGCTTGGTGGAAATTCAATTTTAAGGGTTTGTTTTTCAGATAAAGTTTCCCTCTTTCCAATGGTATGCTCTGTGGATTCAGATGATGTCATTAAGGTTGTTTTCCAAGGCCTCAAAGTTGCTGCCTCAAAACTGGAAAACTGCCAGAAAATGGTTAAGTCTGGAAACTGTTTTGTGAAGCCTACTTTGGAGCTCAATTCAAGGAGAGTGGATCTGATTCAAGTCCAAAGGCTTCCACAACATGAAACTAGGTATTTTTGTGAACAAAGGGAAGGAATTGGATGAAAGATTGGAGTTCGGGAAGGCCTCGAACGAAAGGCGCGAAGTTAGTACGAAAGCTGCCTTTTGAATGTTTGCTGGCAGCTTACTTGCACTTGAAGAAAGAGAGTTTAAATCCGAATTTTGAGTTCTTTTTAGAGTAGATTTTTACCTTAATTGTTTCCTAGCTCTATTATGTTTGTATTAGGTTTATTTGCCTTTAAATACTCTTCTATTTACGTTGTAAAAACAGAAGACTTTGTTGAATAGAAATCGAAACCGTTTGGTTTGTGCAAGTTGCGACTTGTTTTGGGTTTGGTGGATTCCAAACTTGCTGAGCTTGTGTATCGATTGAATAGTCACTTCAATCATGGTCGAGCAACTACCCTTTAATACCAATCGAGCTATCCCCAGGTGTGGATTTGTCCTTTTGGTTCCGTTTTATCCAAGTTCGTATTAAGAACGCGTTGTTCTTGATTCGAGCTCAATCGATTCTTTGATTGAGTCGTTAGCTGCGTGACTTTGATAAACATACACCCCCCCCCCCCAGGGGCGTATCAAGTGGTATCAGAGCCCCGTTCAAGTCAGGGCGAGGAAGGATTGAAGGGCTGTGGTTTCATACAAAGAAAAAAAAATCTGCCGCAAGCAGAGGCACGAAAAAAGAGCACCCATGGCAGCAGAAGAGTTAGCGAGTTCCATGATTTTCACCCGTTGTTTAATCCAGGATCAGCTGGGTTTGGTGCTCGTTGATGGAGCCAGGGAGAGAAATCTGATTTCCCTCCGGATTGTCAGCAAATTGAAGCTTCCATTGCAGCCGCATCCAGCTCCCTACGTCGTACAATCACCGTACGAAGACAAATTCAACATGGTCGTTTCCCAGGTGGCCGTGACGTTCTCGATTGGCCACTACGAGGACCAAGTCCTGTGTGACGTGGTTCTAAATCTCCCTAGCAGCCTTGTATTGGGACAACCATGGTTCAGAGATCGTCAAGTCTGTTTTACCAGTCGACGGAGCAAGAGATTTCGTATTCAGAGTCGAAACAAGGTGTTTGTCGTCAACCCTTTGGCTCCGGAGGCAGCTGCCGAAGATTTGAAGGAGCTTCACCGACTCCAAGAGGAGTATCAGAAGGCTATACTAGTGAAACCATGGCTAGGGAAGGTCGATCAAGCAAAGACCCAGCCAGAACAAGACAATCCATGTTTTTCTTTGCAAAAACAGAGCATCGAAGCCAACAATTCTGCTGACGACGAAGAGGCGAGACAGTCGCACAACTCGTCCAGAAATGCATCCGTGGATGTTGATGGAGGTATTGGAGCGCGAGGAGAAGCCCCTGAACCAGCTATCGATGCGCGAATCAACCCGGAGACGCGCGCAGCAGAGCTTCCGAACTCTCCGCCGACGAAACAGAGCAGGCGAGAGACCCAATTGGTCGGAGCTCTAGGGGCAACGTCGAACTCCGCCAACGCTGCCGAAACATTCAATCCGACCCCAGGAATCTCAGGTGTTGTTTCATTGGAGCCAAACATACCTGTAATTGGAGATTCAATTCGCGCCAAACCATTTCTGTTCGTGAAGAACACTGCCGACGAGGACCCTCTCTTGGGTGGATCGAACCAGGTCGATTCGATCAAACTGGCTGATGGAGAACCATCAAGGGACGTGCCAGGAAGCTGTACGATCAATCAATTCATCGCGATGAGGTCTGATTCACAAACGCCCAATTTGACATTGAGCTTGCTGGGTTCCGAAAATTTAAATTCGGACGACGGCGGGGAAATTTCAGGCCATGATTCGCCGCGTCTCAGGTGCATTCCATGCATAGAATCGATCGAGGAGTGTAATTCTTTGATAAAGAAAGCTGATTCGTGCCCTGGATTGAAGGATGAAGCTGTGAATCAAAAAGCCCCAATATGGCGAAGTTCATCGCGGCGGTGCGTGCTGCCGGAATCTGGAAACAAAGAAAATCGTAGTCTGGGCGTAATTGTGCCAACTGAAAGCATGAAAGGTGCCAAATGGAGTCCTAAGAAGATGCAGGAGCTGGAATTTCGTCAGAAAGAAGTAGCAGCACGAGTAGAAGAAGCTGCCAAAGTCTTCCAGAAGTTGGAGTTTGAGCTGCCTTCTTTTGACCCCATTTATGAGCAGTTCTGTGCAGATTTTGACAAGAGGAAGGATCAAGCTTTGAGGGCAAAGCTTTTTGAAGAGGGGGAGCCTGATTTGATCCCAAATTGCCCACCATTCACATCACAATTACTTGACAAAGAAGCTATCAAAGTTGGGAAGAAGAAAGGCAGAATTTGGCCAAGTCAAAATCCGTGTTCAGGGTACATACTTTGGAGGCATGGTTCTCTCAATTGGCTTGGTGGAAATTCAATTTTAAGGGATTGTTTTTCAGATAAAGTTTCCCTCTTTCCAATGGTATGCTCTGTGGATTCAGATGATGTCATTAATGTTGTTTTCCAAGGCCTCAAAGTTGCTGCCTCAAAACTGGAAAACTGCCAGAAAATGGTTAAGTCTGGAAACTGTTTTGTGAAGCCTACTTTGGAGCTCAATTCAAGGAGAATGGATCTGATTCAAATCCAAAGGCTTCCACAACATGAAACTAGGTATTTTTGTGAACAAAGGAAAGGAATTGGATGAAAGATTGGAGTTCGGGAAGGCCTCGAACGAAAGGCGCGAAGTTAGTACGAAAGCTGCCTTTTGACTGTTTGCTGGCAGCTTACTTGCACTTGAAGAAAGAGAGTTTAAATCCGAATTTTGAGTTCTTTTTAGAGTATATTTTTACCTTAATTGTTTCCTAGCTCTATTATGTTTGTATTAGGTTTATTTGCCTTTAAATACTCTTTTATTTACGTTGTAAAAACAGAAGACTTTGTTGAATAAAAATCGAAACCGTTTGGTTTGTGCAAGTTGCGACTTGTTTTGGGTTTGGTGGATTCCAAACTTGCTGAGCTTGTGTACCGATTGAATAGTCACTTCAATCGTGGTCGAGCAACTACCCTTTTATACCAATCGAGCTATCCCCAGGTGTGGATTTGTCCTTTTGGTTCCGTTTTATCCAAGTTCGTATTAAGAACGCGTTGTTCTTGAATCGAGCTCAATCGATTCTTTGATTGAGTCGTTAGCTGCGTGACTTTGATAAACATACACCCCCCCAGGGGCGTATCAGTAACTCACCTTAAAGATGGTGAAGTCTTTTTAAGTGTTTTTAGTCACTAGCGCCAGTCCGTTGCCATTTGAGATTTTCAGATAGAGCAGTAGTTATGCTCTTGAGATCTTTGAGACAGAGCAGCAGTTATGCTCTTGAGACTTTTAAGATGAGCAGCAGTTATGCTCTTGAGAATCGTGTTGAAGAGCCACCACGATAAGTTTAAGAAGTTAGGGGGATGAATCGTTACGACTTCCCTAACTAAGTTTAAGTTTAAGGAAAGCCTGGATGGCTTCTCATACTTATGAGTTGGCAACCGGACTAGCTAGTGAGGGATCCCCATGTCAGTCAAGCATTTCAGTCAAGATTTGAGTTTACGAGAGGAGAGTAACTTCAACTCCCTCAAAGTTGAAGAGTTTTTTTTTTAAGAATGGAAGTACATACAACTTCCACTAGATAAAGTTAAGTGTTTAAGTAAAGTACTCAAGTATTAGAATTATTAAAACGTAAGGGCGTTGACTGACCCCATGTCACTAACCAGGAATTAGTAAAGGAATAAGCGAGAACTAGATCGATAGTTGCAGCTAGAGGAGCAGTTAGCGAGCAACAAGATAGAGAAAGCTGTTCGAGGCAAGCCAGCTAGAGGAGAGGAGTATAAGCGTAACAGAGGATGCTTAGTCAAGGTTTCAGTGGCAACAACATTAGAGATTGTTAGTTATTTACATTTGTGATTATGAGCATAGACTGGAGATCAGATTGAGATTTTAAAGTTTGAGTTCAATTTGACCACGTGTTAGGGCTTTGCTTTGAACTACAAGTGTGTGTGTTTTCAGTATTTTTATTTATGAAAAATTTTCCCGCTGCAATTTAAGATTTGAGTATTTTATTTATCAAGGGCATTTTAGTAAAAGTAGTACGCGGTCGGGTTAGGGTGTTTCATTTTGGGATCAGAGCAGGTATTCCTCGGTTCCTTGGTCTCCAAGGAATACTGGAATATCGGTCTCATTTTTAAAGGCTTTTGTTTTATGGGAAAGAAAAACGAGTCAATGATCTTCTTTTAAGAGTCTATAGAATCTCCAGTCTACTCTAATTGTATTAAGGTAAACAACTAAAGTTCTAATATAAGAGGTTCCAATCCTAAGGGAATACCTCTAGGATTTTGAAGGAGTTGAAGGAGTAGTACGAGGATTCTACTACTAGGCCACAATGAGAGGATCTAATAAGCAAAAGCAAACAAATAGGAGAACTATGAATCTCCGAAGAAAGAGCTACAGTCACTAGATGGCAGTAGCTATAATGATTAGAGGAATTTCAGGGTCCTTGACCCTAACCAGTGGCGAGTCAAGAAACGAAGAGGTACCACGAGAAGTCCCTCAACTAGTTTTAGTGGTCAACGCTATTACATCATAGTGGCAAGGAGTAGTGGAAAGCTTAGACTTTAAGAAAAGCTAGGGTAGTATAAATGAAGCAAAGGAGGAAATAAGTAGGTTACAGGGAGTATGAAAAGATGTCAAGAAGTCAACAGGTCAAGGAGGAGAGGAGGCATGGTCATCTACATATGACGATAAAGGAACCCTTATAGACAAACTACCTCACTAGAGAAGAGGGTACATGACCCTGGGGAGTTAGGCTGGTAGCAAGCCTTTAAAAGGAACAAGACAAGCGTCAAGATGATCGAGGTAGAGAACGAGTTTGGATCAAGACTAACGATGTGCTAGTGATGAATGTCGAGCTAGAAAGAGGATGTATTGGGATATGAGAGACCCTACAAACTACCCAGATCACAAAAGGTCAGGAGGTCGTTGAGACCATTGACAGGGGAAGCAAGAGTTCACGATGATCTGTTATGGGATTGTCCTATCCTCAATGGAGGGAGCACCTAGCCGCCTAGGGTACATGAGGGGTGACAGAAGGAAGAACCTCTCTAATAAGTTGGAACTAGAGGGCCAAGAGCGGGAGTCTCGAAACCAGCCGTAAGAGTAAATCATTCAATCAATCGGGTATAGACAAGCAAGTACAACGTTCATTAGAAGTGCTAATGAAAGTTGGAGAATTCGAGGAAGAGTCTAAATGGTCGTAATGAAGAGAGTTTGCGAACAATACCAAGGAATAGCAAAAAGGCCAGAGTGAGTTTGACGAGATTTCAAGAAATCAATGGGTCGAGTCTCAGGTGACTCGAGGTCAAGAAGCTTCACAAAGAGGTACGATGAAGGAAAGCGCTACCGAGAAGGAGGAAAAGAGAAGTTACCTTATCCAAGGTGCCCCACTCTGAGTGGGCGCGACATAGTAGGAGGGCTCCAGAGGAGACAACTAGTTAAGGATTAAACAGTCACGCTTAGTTAAGCCACTAAGAATCCTAACTAAGGGACTAAGTTTATGTACAAGATCGATCAACAAAAGAGACATGGAATGAGTTATGTTAAAGGTTACCAAGGGCAAGCCACCATTGGAAGTTGTGACTTAAAACAATAACGAGAAGATACTCAACAGAGGTTGGTGACCAAATATAGTACAAGCAACAACAGAAGAGTTGTAGTTTGGTGGTAGTAAAAGTAAAGAAGCAGGAAGAACACCGTGGGAGGTTATAGAAAAAAATGGTTGGCATCAACCCGGCGATGTATGCATCAAGGAAGATAGTAAGACGGGCGGAAGCAGGAGTACAACAGACAACAAGAAAGCATTAGGTTGACCACCAAGTAGAGAACAACCGATCCATAGGAAGTCCATAGAGATATTTCAGTCAATTTTTAAGGTGGAATCATGATCGTCAGGAATAGTAGAAGGGAGAACCTTATCTATCAGGGTACACGAGTGAGAAGAGAAAATAGGGACCTAGAGGACTACATCGAGAACAAGGGACATCTAGAACTAGCAATGAACATCAAGAAGTAGAGTCATGAGTAAAGAAGTAAGGGAGATATGAGCTGAGGGAACCTGCTAGGATACCCCAAAGTGAAACCAAGATCGCCTATATTGGTGAAAGGTGTCTATCTCTTGGATAAAAATTTATTGGACGGGGAAACCGTACAATGGATTTCAACTAGGGTCCGAGAGTAGCAGAATGGATAGTACAAGAACATAAAATTCAAGCAGCGATAAGTAAGTGCTAAGTTAGGCGCCAGGAGTGAACAAGTAAGCCAGAGAGAATGCCATGATTCTTGAAAGGATCACAAGCTAGAGAAAGATGCAAAGGATGCCTCTAATGCATAGAGAAAGTAAAAGCTGTAATACGAGGTTTCAGAGTTAAGCAAGAAGTAACGGGGAGATGACCACTCGGTTTATGGTTTAAAGGATAAGGCAAAGAATCGAAGAAGAAAGTAGGAGATACAAGAACCTAGGTGACCTATGAGGTCAATCCTAGACGAGAGTTATGTTAAAAGAGTTTTACCATCTGACTAGATGGAAGATAAGCCGCCATCAGTGACCTTCTGGTTGGAGAGGGGCATTAACTTCTCATGTATAGGTGCAGCCTAGGTGGTGTGAGGGGTTAAAAATCCACAACAACATTGAAGTTGCAGGGAATGGAGAGAAGGATTTTAGGTCATGTCGTATAAGTTAAAGGAAATAAAATTCCGCGAAGTGAAAAGGATTACCACAAGCGATGCTTAGGGTAATCACAGTGGACAAATTTCGAGGGCGAAATTTCTATAAGTGGGGAGGAAATGTGATACCTCGACTTCGATGGGTTCAACATCAAGTACTGAATCAGTTGGACCAAATAAATTGAGCCGAAATTTTGTCCCATCACACCCTGGGCCCAAGTTGGAAAATTTTGAAAAGGGCATTGAGTCACTCAAACCTATTCGATGCTATCAAACTAGATGAGAATATATGTTATGGTCAAGAGTACATATAAGAACTATCGTAAGCTATTCAAGACAAGGTAAGGGCACGCCATTGAAGTTCATATAGAAAGAGTGAAATCTTGAGCCAAAGAAGCGCGAGAATGAGGAGTATGAAAGGATGAGCCCGATCAAATTTCGGGGACGAAATTTTTATAAGGGTGGAGGAAATGTTACACCCCGATCTTGCCAAAAGTCAAAATGACTATTATACCCTTGGGCGAAATTCGTCAAATTCCATCGTAATATCGATGAGGACTAAAAATGCGAACTCTCGGTTCAAACGGTGTCGAGTTTCGATATAAATCGAATAAGTTACGGACGTTAGTTGAGTTGCGGATTAAACTCACCCGTAATTTGTGAGATTCCCAAAATACCCTCTACCTAATTAAACCCTAGACTCTACTCGGCCCCAACGCAATTAGCAAAGACACTCGCAGCCTTTTATTTTTTTCAGCGGAACCAACTTGCTCTCGGAGGGGAGGCGGTTGAAAATCGGAAGAGAGCCATGGAGAGGCTGGCGCAAAGCAGCTTTACGAGATCAAGGAGGCGCCTTGTAACGATTGGGTGGAACAGCCAAGAGGTGGCGGACTTGGGAAATCAAGGTAATAGGGGGGGCTCTACGCGAGCTGTTTGCTTGGTTGGGGGGAACCAGGCACGAGGTGGCGGCATTGCAGAGATTATGAGGTGGGGAAAGTGTCGAGCTTGTTGGATAGGGTGAAAGGTGATGGTAAATTTTCAATTGATGTGATCACAGCTAATACCGCTGATTTGGGGCCATTATTGATGAGGGTAAGCGGTCAGTGTTCGGATTTAAATGGACCAGCTATCCCCCGGCATCGCCATTCTTCTAGTGAGCGGCTGAGAGAGGGAAGCAAGGTTGCCAAGGCGTGGTGGTGGTTTGGATC